TAAACACAACTTATAAGGGAACTGTTTAGTAATCATAACATTGAACTGACAATATGAATATCACGACTATGCTAACGTTAAACCAATTATTATTAGTGGCCCATGCAAAGTCCTGGAACTTAACATCAGCGTTATAAAAAAGACATTTTATGTCAATAACTAATATATATATATATATATTCGTTGGTTTAAATATAACGTAAAATGGAAATTTACTAAACTTGTAGTTTTTTTCTATAGTAATAATATTCATGTAAACAAAGAACTTATACTTTTCCAATATGACACTTTGATATATCAATCTGTCCTCTTGTCATTTTTTCTCTCATATGTGCGCGACTTACGGGCAACAAACATCGTATTGAAGGTGGGTCTGGTGAACAAAAACGCAAGCCCCACACGCACTCGAACCTCTGCCCTCCTGAATGCTAGACCGCGTGCTTAGCCGTTAAGCCACATCAGACCACGGAGGTAGTGACTTCAATATTTCCTTACACCAATTAATCACTCATAATACTAATGAGTAATAGGACTTACACACTTCTGAGGTGCAAACCAATTCGTTACTTGGATGAATTGACGATATGTTGCTTCAATATATCATGCATACCTAAATCAAACAAGAAAAGGGTATTTTACACAACTGTACTTGATCCGCATACTCTACACAATTTTTTTTTGCTTCTTAACCGTATATTCTTTTCCGTTTTGTGGAGTATTCTGATGCGTCCTTGGTTACGCACCTGGTTGTGAAACGCGGTCATCACAGGCTCAAGGTCACGCGTTTGATCGATTTTCTTAAAGAGTCCAACTTCTAGCAAGTTCACCCTTTTACATATATGCATTACAAAAGAGTATTTTTTTGTTTTCATGGTTTTTCGTGCACAAGATATCTACACTATGTCTATTCTCTTCCAGAATACCAATCCGTTCTGGAGACCAAGCACTTACATGGAACCGAACAATTATCAATTACATTTATGTATTTCCATCTTGTATCTTATTATTTTATGCAGGCAGTGGAGCAGTTCTTCAGGTTTGCTTGATTTTCACCATTACCTTTGAAGTAGATTCTTCTTTACTTTTTACTTGAGGGCGACTCAAGAGGCAGGTGAGTAAACACCTGATAGCCGGTCTGAGCACGGAAAAATCGTACCTCACCAACATGGTGTTGGGTAGCCCGCTCGCGGCACTTCCTCAGATATTCTTATTCCACATTCTCACACTTTCTCTTGAAAGCACGCAGCAAACCGTCGGCGATAGTTGTAGAAGAAATCACATGCTACAAAATAAGATGACAAGCTAGTAAAGAAGAGACATCCATGGACTATCGTTGACAGCGACAGTCGTCACTGATTGTAAGTCAAACAGTGAGCGAGCTGATAATTTTCCCTTGGGATGAGAAATAGAACTAAGGTGTTTTCGATAGTTGGGTTAATCGAACCGAAGTTCCTACGGAAGTCGATTCTAGGGGGAAGCTAATGTAACAGCTTAGGTTGGTTGGTTAAGAGTTGACCCCAAACAACCAAGCATATGCCAAAACAGTATTGTTCAAGTATTCATTCACTTCCTTGTTTTGTATAAGCGTTATATTCCCTATTATCTTATATTGAATGTAAAGAGCCTTTGTTTGTCTGAACAGGTAATCCCACGCTCCACTGTTACCGCGCTGAGATCGAAATAAAGACCTATTCACTACGGCACACTATGCGTGTTAGTTTACGGGTTTTCGCGCACATGTAACATATTGTCGTGGATTTTATATTTCGTTATTTATCAGCTATTAACAGCCTTTTTTCCATCATACGTGACTTCTCGTAATCTTTGTGATTGGAAGATAGTATTTATTTCAATTTATAAGCAGTTTGACGTATTTTGTGCTCACCACCTAAGTAAACATGCAGTTGGCGTAATATGGTTATTTTTTAATAATACAAGGTCAAACAAGTCAAATCACCATTTTTCTAGTGAAAAATAGAAAACAGATTGACTTTTCATGAAAATAAGCCGTGAAAAGCATTATATATGGTTCACCTCCTTGATTATGGTGACAGCAAACATAGATGTTCGCAGTCGTTTATAAGATGTTATCAGAAAGAAGTAAGCATTAAACTAACTATGGATATTATATAAATTGTTTGTATTTAGCCATAAAAGGTTATTTGCACTAAAGGTAGCATTGTTTGGTATTGAAGTGACATATTATTGTGTAACGTATCAGAGAAAAATTATGTGAGTAAGAATTGATGTTGATAGTCTTTTTTACCGGCTTTCTGAACGTATACAGGAACAGTGTATAACACCACATTAAATAGGCACGAAATCTTCATAAGTGAAACGATGGCTGTCTCTTCTGAGCATGGTGACAAAACCATGTCGTACTTAATATTGATTCATGATGTGTCTGTTATAGGGTTGACGAATAATTTTCTGTAAACGAAATGCACAGTCTCAGACGAAAATGTGAACAAACTTATGATGCATATTGTCGAGTAATATCTAAATGGTACTTACCAATTTTTCTTGCTAATACCAGATGTATGTACGAAATAATACAAGGGTTAGACACTGAATAAATTCCCAGTGCTTGTTACGACACAGACTTGAATAAAAAACAACTATTCATGAGTTAATTCATGAATTCCTACTGTATTACAGACTGACTCGTCCGAAGTAATTCATGCAGACAACGGGACGAAAAGTGAATGAGCAATGGAAGCAGAATCACAAGTTCCTTGTATTCATATCTCGTTTATGCCACATTAATGAATAACATTTTCTTCATAATTCAGACCACGCTTCTTTGTTGTGACGAAACTGATTTCAGCAATTTTTAAATAACATTGATTTGTGTGTTGTAAAGATTACCTATTAATTATTATTAAAGGAAATAGAAATCTCTAATGATTAGCGCTGTCTGCAAATAAGAGACTTATAGGTACATTCTGTAACCTGCTATTTGATGTACTTATTGAATGTGATACTTATAACTAGGTCTAATTCTTTATTTCACAACTGATTTGTTTGTTTTTCAGAATTGTATGAATCCAATAAAGTCGTCAAAGGTTTGTGATGTTTACGCCGGTCTACAACTTACAGAATTTGTTAAAAAACGGTTTACATGTTCACGTTAACTGTGTTCCGTATTGCCTAGTAACATTTTTATTCAACTAATGAATTAGTGAAATATAAATATAGCAACTACACTTATTGTCTTACTTTATAAACCGTGTCCGTCTTTATTAATAGTCGATATGACGCTAGAACAAATATAGATATAGAATAATATGAACTCCTTATAATCCATGGAGTGAACAAGTAATAAGATGGATTATGTATTAATTCATTTCACTTTTAAAATTTAGTTGCCGATTTATTCCAGCACCCTGTCACTTACATCTGCTCACTTAATCCTCTGTAATTATGTGACCTCTTCAAATTGTAATAAGTTATTACGTGACCCAAGTTTTCAGTTCTTAAATCCACGGATCACTTATAGGCCATAAGATTTTCACACCACTTATCTGTCTGTGAACTCCAGTCCACTATTACACCACCCATTCTTAATGTGTTATTGACTGTAAAAACAAATGACCTTTGACCTTAAACTGCATATATATATATATATATATATATATAGTCATTATTGATAACCCACGTCATTTCAATTATTCATATTAAGGTATGTCAACTGTTTCCCACATCACTGTTAAATCCTAATGCATATTTAGTTATAACGAATGCATACCATTGTTAATCAACATTTATCCTGGTTTCATTTTAATTCATAAGCGGAACTAATCACATGGAATTAAAATCTTAGCTACTGATACGATTTTAATTATAAACGTAATCCGACGAAGGTGAATATGATATGTGGGTGCCTAATCTGCAAGATTGTACGTGGATGTAGGGTTTCTGAATCATTCTTAATTATTACAAACAGTTACACATGAACGTCATTGCTATTTATTCCCATGAAACTAGGAATAAGATGAAAATTAAAATTATGACAGTTTATTGAATAATCATTGCTGCTAAACCAGAAAATCAAGTTTACAAGTTGGTATTAAGAATTTTTAAGTAATAATTGTCCACCTTCTTCTCAACTTCCGTTGCGAAACGTTCACCATACTTCTCAATGATGCGTTGCTTATGGATTCTTTGACTTCGTTGAATACTTATATACACTTCACTCCGTCGTGTTAATGCAGTTAATGTATAATTTTGGAAGTTCTGGGTATTATGTAACTTCCATCTGCTACAATACCTAAGAAGTTGATGAGCTATGCAGTTAGTATTTCATAATTGATATAGCTTACCTGTAAGATTTCGTCTTTTAACGTAGGCAAGTAGCATGTGACGGCAGGGATATCGGCACATCATAAACGTGCTACAATTGCATTGACAAATGCTTATATCAACTTCATAATGTTGTCCGCGATCAACCATAAACAACCAATCACCGCTTTCATATTCGACGTAGACAAAACGCATTTGTTTAAGTTCGTATAACAATTTAGATCTAGCGAATGGGGTCAAAATGTTTAGCAGGGGTGTAAGACGCTGTGGAGCATTATATTTATAAGATCTTGCGGCTATCACTTGATCTTCGATACTTCTTCTAGCTGACGTCATTTCACTCCATCTTAAAGCCTTGTACATACACTTGTACAGACTATCACTTTTGCGTACATATCGTTTAATTTGCCTATTCAGCGATTCAACACGATTATTCGTGCTGTTACCGAATGTTAAAACATGACCGTAAAAGGCACGCGCCCACATCGTCTTACGTGCCATCCAAAAACGTGACAGGTACTGACCTATCAATCTGTCCCGCCGATTTATTATTCTGTAATATTGATTAAATCTATTGAATAAACACATTACAAAAATTACCTTCCAACCGTCTCCGCAGTTACCAATCGAGTTAAGTAGGCTTTCATTATTTTGTCGTTTGTCTAAGGGCAATTTTATATAAGTAACCATTGGTGTACCTTTTTCCGGAAAGCGCGAATTACATGAAAGGCGCACAAAATTATGTTTGCATGTCCGTGTGTCATACGGACAGCCGCGCTTTCACATCTTGCGCAGTCCATCACAAATGTTTCAGTCAACATTGTATCCCCCATTATCTCTTTGAATTGATCTAGAATCCATATAACATCAGCACGTTTTTCCCTTCGAGTCCATGCAAACATTACAGTTCTACCTCGACCGCAATTATCCGTCACTACTAACTGGAATAAGGAATATCTACATAGTAAAATACAAGGATAAACATATTCACTTTTTATTATTAGTATTATACGTAGAATCAATGCACACAACTTCTGGATATTTTCTGTACAGTTGTATTTGGTTAGAACTACTGAAACATATTCTAGTGGCATATCCATTTTCTAAATGTTCCTTCACTTCGCCTCTCTGTCTAAGCATATCCATTACCTGGTTCCGAGTAAAACAACCTGAAATATATTTATATACACTTACCAGTGGAGAGTGTAGCTTTCATACCTTTGACATCGGCAGCAGTTACTTGCTTACCAGTTCTCTCCTTAATGCTTTCGATAACTTCATCTGCTGACTCACAGTGAAGTATTACGGGCTTCAAGTTCTCTTTTTCTTCTGACGATAATCTCCTTGTCAATGGATCACATACCATCCATGAACTACTACATGGATGATTGTGGAGCATGTTGTAGGATTTGATGACATATCCTTGCTCCTCTAGTCTTACACGAAATTTAGATCGACAATTACGGAATTTAGACCTTAAACATAAGACATTAGTTACAGATCTTACGATTTTTGCCTCACTTTCAAACCTTCCGATTTCCTCTTATGACCAAACGTACAATTAAACGATACAAACAGGTATTTGAACCTGACATCCTTCAGCAATCTGCTTTCTGTGTGGATGTAACGAGTATAAGTAGTCTGAGAAGCGATAAAACTATAATTCCATACTTTTTGGAACTCTTTTAAGGCGCTTTCAAAATCATCCCACAAGACGAAACGCTTGTTCAGTATCATACTTCGAAAGGCATCGGTTAGGTCGACTGAAATGTCTCTTGAGCATGAAGCACTAAAAACAGAAATGACTAATTATTAAAAGGTTATTCCTTGTGACAATAATAACCCAAGAAAATACTACAAATACTTAGGATTTACCTGTGACTTGACATTTCGTTGAGCTTTACTACAGTTGTTGGGATCAAAGATCAAATTACAAAGCAACAACAGAGCCAACGTGTACAATACAAAACAGAGAACGCTAAATTAATGGTTTTCGTATTTATTTCGTGCTTTTTTATGTAGCATAAAATGATTTATATATGAAAAAACTTGGTACTCATGCAATCCAACCAACCCACGGCAATTGAAATACGGAATGACCGCCTCTAATCAAGCCGTTCAAGGTCGTTGAAACGAAAGGGCGGGCACATTTCAAAAGGACCTAACGTTTAAACCTTGCCATTCACTACTTCTCTGGTTTCTTCTATCAATAGCACGAGGGTTACTTTAAGGCACGAAAGAAGAATGGGTATGTGCGTAATAGTGTATTTGTGAACAACCGAAAATGTGTGTCACGCTATGTTCGAATTACAACGGAAAAAAGTGTTCAAGGTCATTGACTAAAACAACACGTACAGTCATTTAATGATAAATGTACATACAGTGAAAAATTGACAAAACAAATAGAAATAACATTGAAAACTATTTACAAAATAAGCTTGTCAGTCATATCTCCACACTATCAATAGCGGTAATAAATTAGTATGCAATGCTATCTTCCGTAAAGTTATATGACATACACCAAGCATCAAAACATTCTAAACAATCCTCCACTTCTCTTAGGGACAAATTAATGGACAATTGCCTCCAGTCACTTGAATCCCTATGAACTGAAACTCCAGGTGTGAATTTGAAATCAGATAACGAAATACTATTAATCACAAGTCTAGAATTTCGACAAGATTCAAGCAAGAACTCAAACTTCAAGCATGTAGAATAAATTTGTATTCTGTTGTTGTATTACGTTTAAACACAACGTGAAATATCTGACTGTACAGCGCATTTGCTGGTTACTCATCAAAGTTACTTGAAGTTATAAGTGAATACGCCCGAACAAAGTATAAACGTTTAACACTACTGATTATTCAGGATTTTGGTTCTTCCTGGACATAGCATAAAATTTCGGGATCTGACTATGATGATATGAAGTGCTCCAGGCGCTGTACAAGAAAGACATCATTCGATCTCAATTATAATGGTGAAGACTGAGATAATAGATCTCCCAAAATGAACTTTAGCAAATTAAATTACTACTTCATACCAGTTAACAATAAAGATCCCACAAGTATTTTGCGTTTGAAAGCGCCTTTTTACGTAACACGTTTATAATTGAGATATACCATTTCAGTCAAACCAGGTATCAAAAATGAAGGAGTCCGAATACTTATTTGGAAAGCTATCGATTTGTCGATAAACTTTGGGTCCCAGGTGGATGTCAGTTGTAAGGGATGCGTAGCATGACGTACCCAATTGTGATCTGGTTCATATGCATAATCGAGTGCTTTCAGCTAGGGTGTACCTTGTACAAATAATGAGGTCAGCTTCAACATCGAAGACCTACCGAATTATTTGTTTCGGTGTTTGTTTGCCGCAAGAACAACATCCGTCCGCTTTGACGAGGTCAAGTATAATCTAATCATCAAATTTTAAATTATCCGTATAAATAAAACTCAAACTTCAGAGGAAATCCTTAGCGCCAACCTAATGCGAAGAACACCCGTAGGCTGCTATCAACCAGACAACTGAAACAATGTATTATTTGTGGTGAAAATTACTTGGTACCAATAAACTCGATAGGCAAGCAAGCATTATTATTATTTTTTGTTTAGACCTAATATTTTCTATTACTACTGACACTATTACTACACTCCCGTTACTCTGACGTTTGTTTTATCTCTCTGCACTGATATACTATTACAACTTGGGTCTAGGGATATATGTGCTAGGTTCTGCATGACTGAATCAATTAACTTGTGTATGACAACCACTTATGGATAAATATTGACAAAATTTTAAAAAGAACACAAAAGACCAAGATAAATAAAGCAGTGTATAAAAGAGTAAATAAAACACGTAAGGAATAAAGCAGCAGAAATCTCGCGAAACGTTTTTCCGTGGAAGAACTATCATTGTGCAAGGTGTGTCAGAAAGCACGGACCCTGACCACAAAAACACTGATATTTGGGAACGGAAATTCACCAAGCATTCCTTGATGTTCACTGGAAGGCAATCTGGCTCACCCACCCACGAGTTGCGCAAATCAGTTTTTGCGTTTCTTTTCGTGTTTTATGGCACGGGCACTGGGGCAAGCCAGGGGTTTTCGCGCACATGTTACATATTGTCGTGGATTTTTGTGTCGTTATTTAACAGCCTTTTTTCCATCACACATCAATTTTCGTAATGTTTGTGCTCACCAGTGAAGAGTTTAGCTTTCATAGCTTTGACATCAGCAGCGGTAACCTGCTTAGCAGTCCTCTCCTAACTACCTTCTATAACTTCATCTATTGACTGAGAGTGCAATATTACTGGCTTCAAGTTTTATTTTTCTTTCGATGATAATCTTCTACTCCACGGACCACAAACCATCAATGAACTACTACAAGGATGGTTGTGAGACATGTTGTAAGATTTTATGACGTATTCTTGACCTTCCAATATTATACGAAACATAGATTGGCATTTTAAAAACTTAGACCTTAAATGTCACAGATTAGTTAAAGTCCTCATGGTTTTTTATTCACTGTCAAACCTGCTGACTTAGGTTTACGACCAAACGTGCAATAAAACACCACAAACAAGTAGTTATACCTTATATCCTTCAACAATTTACTTTCTGTGTGAGCATAGTGCGTATGGGTAATCTGAGAAAGCACAGAATTCTTCTTCCATACTTTATGGAAATCCTTTAGCGAACTATCAAATACAATCCAGCTTCCGGATCGCTTGTTCGGCATAATACGTTGAAACGCCTCGCTTAAGTCCGCTGAAATTTCCCTTGAGCATGAAGCACTACAGACAACACGCATTATTTATTCAAAAAAGTTATTCCTTGAAAAAAACTAACTGAAAGAAGTACAACAAATATTTAGGACAACGTTGAGTTGACATTTAAGCTTAACTTCTTTGATTAACAGCGACTCACAAAAACTCTGCGTAACTATAACTTTTAACGTTATCTTATCTTTCTGACGTTGTTTTCTAGACCTCATTAACAAATTATAAAAAAGTGTTGACGGTTACTACAGCAGACCAAGTTACGAACCAACAACAGAGCTAACGTGTACACTGCAAAACAGAGAATGCTGAATCAATGCTCTTAGCAGTTATTTTGTGCTTTTTCAAACATCAAAAGATGACTTGAATATGGAAAAACATAATATTCAAACGACACAAAACACCCAAGGCAATGGAAATACGGAATGACCGCCCCTAGTCAGGCCGTTCAAGGTCGTTGAAACGAAAGGGCGGGCACATTTCAAAAGGACCTAACGTTTAAACCTTGCCATTCACTACTTCTCTGGTTTCTTCTATCAATAGCACGAGGGTTACTTTAAGGCACGAAAGAAGAATGGGTATGTGCGTAATAGTGTATTTGTGAACAACCGAAAATGTGTGTCACGCTATGTTCGAATTACAACGGAAAAAAGTGTTCAAGGTCATTGACTAAAACAACACGTACAGTCATTTAATGATAAATGTACATACAGTGAAAAATTGACAAAACAAATAGAAATAACATTGAAAACTATTTACAAAATAAGCTTGTCAGTCATATCTCCACACTATCAATAGCGGTAATAAATTAGTATGCAATGCTATCTTCCGTAAAGTTATATGACATACACCAAGCATCAAAACATTCTAAACAATCCTCCACTTCTCTTAGGGACAAATTAATGGACAATTGCCTCCAGTCACTTGAATCCCTATGAACTGAAACTCCAGGTGTGAATTTGAAATCAGATAACGAAATACTATTAATCACAAGTCTAGAATTTCGACAAGATTCAAGCAAGAACTCAAACTTCAAGCATGTAGAATAAATTTGTATTCTGTTGTTGTATTACGTTTAAACACAACGTGAAATATCTGACTGTACAGCGCATTTGCTGGTTACTCATCAAAGTTACTTGAAGTTATAAGTGAATACGCCCGAACAAAGTATAAACGTTTAACACTACTGATTATTCAGGATTTTGGTTCTTCCTGGACATAGCATAAAATTTCGGGATCTGACTATGATGATATGAAGTGCTCCAGGCGCTGTACAAGAAAGACATCATTCGATCTCAATTATAATGGTGAAGACTGAGATAATAGATCTCCCAAAATGAACTTTAGCAAATTAAATTACTACTTCATACCAGTTAACAATAAAGATCCCACAAGTATTTTGCGTTTGAAAGCGCCTTTTTACGTAACACGTTTATAATTGAGATATACCATTTCAGTCAAACCAGGTATCAAAAATGAAGGAGTCCGAATACTTATTTGGAAAGCTATCGATTTGTCGATAAACTTTGGGTCCCAGGTGGATGTCAGTTGTAAGGGATGCGTAGCATGACGTACCCAATTGTGATCTGGTTCATATGCATAATCGAGTGCTTTCAGCTAGGGTGTACCTTGTACAAATAATGAGGTCAGCTTCAACATCGAAGACCTACCGAATTATTTGTTTCGGTGTTTGTTTGCCGCAAGAACAACATCCGTCCGCTTTGACGAGGTCAAGTATAATCTAATCATCAAATTTTAAATTATCCGTATAAATAAAACTCAAACTTCAGAGGAAATCCTTAGCGCCAACCTAATGCGAAGAACACCCGTAGGCTGCTATCAACCAGACAACTGAAACAATGTATTATTTGTGGTGAAAATTACTTGGTACCAATAAACTCGATAGGCAAGCAAGCATTATTATTATTTTTTGTTTAGACCTAATATTTTCTATTACTACTGACACTATTACTACACTCCCGTTACTCTGACGTTTGTTTTATCTCTCTGCACTGATATACTATTACAACTTGGGTCTAGGGATATATGTGCTAGGTTCTGCATGACTGAATCAATTAACTTGTGTATGACAACCACTTATGGATAAATATTGACAAAATTTTAAAAAGAACACAAAAGACCAAGATAAATAAAGCAGTGTATAAAAGAGTAAATAAAACACGTAAGGAATAAAGCAGCAGAAATCTCGCGAAACGTTTTTCCGTGGAAGAACTATCATTGTGCAAGGTGTGTCAGAAAGCACGGACCCTGACCACAAAAACACTGATATTTGGGAACG